ACACATATACACACATCATCATTTATTTGTTATATAAGACTCTAACCACTGACCTGAGAGCAGTTTCAAACTACGATACTGTTTTCTGTTGTTTGTAACATTCAACAATAGCTTTCCTTGTAATTTGTCTTTTTACTGTTGTATGTCCTAAACATTTTTGTCTTGATGCTAAAGATGTTGTTTAATTCCACGGCTAAAAAAAGAAGAAAAAGAATCACTAATACTTATACACTATAATACAACCTACTTAACAAAAAAGAACCAGAGAGGCCGGGCTGGACTATTTTATGCAATAGCTGAGGCTTTTAAAAGGAATCATCCTCCATTATGACCACCTGGGCACGCTGGTGGTCATAATGTTTATGCAGCCTCACTACACAACAAACTGTGATGCACTGTTGTTTCTGGACACCTTTCTATCAGAACCAGCATTAACTTTTTCAGCAGATTTGAACTCGTACAGGCTCGTCTGTTGGATAGACCACACAGGCCAGCATTTGCTCCCCACATACATCAATGAGCCTTGGCTGCCCATGACCCTGTCTCCGGTTCACCTCTTTCCCTTCCTTGGACCACCTTTGATAGGTACTGACCACTGCAGACCGGGAACACCCCACAGTTTTGGAGGTTCCCTGACCCAGTCGTCTAGCCATCACAATTTGGCCCTTATTAAAGTCGCTCAAACCCTTACGCTGCCCATGTTTCCTGCTTCTAACACATCAACTTTGAGGACAGAATGTTCTCTTGCTGCCTAATATATCCCACCCACTGACAGGTGTCATGATACCCAGATAATCAGTGTTATTCACTTCACCAGTCAGCGGGTAAAAATGTTATGGCTGATCAGTGTATCAGTGTCTACTTTGTAGAATCGAATCATACACATTTGAGGGCCAGAGCAGAGATGTAAGAAGAGAGGATGTTTAGTTTTATTTACCAGTATGTTGCATATACTTGTTGCTCAAACCTGAGCGGAGACACAAGGTCTTTTTCAGGGTGCAAATGTTCTTATTCTTTTTCATTACAGTTGCATTGGATTTTTGTTGTGATAACCATCAGTTTTGAATAAATTTCCTTCACTCCTACTTCAGTGGTTTCAATTATAGACTTCCTTCACTTTCATACTTTACAAGTTCTGGATCAATGGAAAAGTAAAACACAGTATTTTTTCAAGTTTATTTTTCATCTGTATACAGTCATAGTCTGTTTACATACTGTTCAATTAATAGCATGTAGTGCAAAGCTTTTATTATGTCTCTATCACACAACAAATCGTGTTATTTTGTGAAATCATAAAGTAGCATTATCAAAACTTGGCTGCAGTGTACGCCACTCAAAAATGGACAATAATTAAAAGTATAAAGGCTGTTTTACACAAATATATAAACAGAGGCAAAAACAAATATGCCATGACCAAGGCCAACAAAAGATAAACAGCTAGGACTACATTTCCTCAACTGCATTACTGTCAGAAGATATAGTGAGAGTAGTCAGAAAAGTCCACCATGCATTTCAAATGAAGGAAATGAGACACATTAACCATATTAAATGTATTAATATCCCTCTCACAAAGGAAACATATTCCAGAAGATAGATAAGATTGTCTGTATGTTCAAGCTGGGATCGTGGAGGGGATGAGGTTTAGGTTATATGCAAAGAGAACATTACAAAACATTGACTGACATGCACAAGTACTCCTGTAGAAAAATGTAGACTTTTTAAATATACATTGTCACAATATGTATTTTTCCAGTAATTCTATACAACCAGGACAAAAACGAATGTAATTATGAAATATTTGAAAGTCAGAGGGTCCAAATAAATTCACTGCACGGGGATTATTTTACAACACGTGTTTGCAGTATATTATGGCCGATTTTCATTTGACCAGATATACGGTGCGCCTACTCTCACCTTCAGAGTAGCTCTATCTGTACTAGCGCGCCTCAGGGTGCTTTTTTGATAAGCTGCGCTTCTTTTCTTTAGTGTGTCGGTGTCTGTGTTTGAGCTGAAGCGAAAATCGCCTCTCCACGACCCAGTGGTCAAGAAGGAATCGTACCGCTCATCTTTCAGCAGGGTCCCACACCGGCTTATATCTGTAAAACTAGGGGTGCAGTAGGCCGTGGGGAAAACGGGGAGACTAGCTGCGGTTGAACGGTAAACATAACCACGCCGGCAGAGCTTAAAATAAAACACTCCACTGATTAAAAGGATGAAAAGAGAGGAAACGGCTGCCAGTGCAATAATTAAATAGAGCGTTAAGTTATCGTTGTCCTGTGATTCATCAGCAAACTCAAAGAGTTCGTTTAAAACAGGCAGCCCGTCTCCAATTGCTATGCTGACTGTAACAGTGGCGGAGAGAGACTCGGGCCCGTTATCCGTTACTAAAACTGTAACAGTATGTTTTGGTTCATCGTCATCCATGAATGCTCGCACGGTCCTGATTTCTCCTGTATGCAGACCGACAATAAACAGGTTAGGCCGCGTTGCTCTGATTATTCTGTAGGAAAGCCAGGCGTTATGCCCAGAGTCGGCGTCCACAGCTACCACCTTAGTAACTAAGTAACCTCTAGGTGCTTCAACTGGCACCATATCTTCAGCAATGAACCCTGTGGTTTGGACAGGATATAGGACGACAGGTGTATTGTCATTTTGGTCCTTGATAAACACGTTTACAGTGCAGGTGGTGGAGAGTGGAGGGCCGCCTCCATCTCGAGCTGTCACCTTAATCTGGAAGTGGACTAACTGTTCGTAATCAAACAGGCGTGATGTGAAGAGCTCCCCCGTTTCTGAGTTTATTCTAAGGAAGGAGGACACTTCTGAGTTTGTGTCCCTTGATATTTGGTACAGTATTTTAGAGTTAGACCCTTCATCAATGTCCTCTGCGTTCACTTTCATCACAAACGTGCCAACAGGTTGGTTTTCCAAGATGTTGGCATCGTACTTGCTCTGCGTAAAAGTCGGAGGGTTATCATTTATATCATTAACCATGATTGTTAAAACCTTTACACTAGAGAGTGAGGGAGAACCCGCATCAGTGGCAGTAATTGTGATGTTATACTCTGGTTGAAATTCTCGGTCTAGTATCCCGTCAGTCACCAACATGTAATAGTTTTTGACCTCTGATACAAATTTAAACGGAACATTGTCTGAGATTGTACAGGTGACGCGCCCACTACTCCCAGTGTCCAGGTCGTAAACATTCATCAGAGCAACCATAGTTCCTGGTTTGGAGTCTTCGGCCACGTTAGGAGAGGCTGACTTTATCTCTATGACAGGTTTATTGTCGTTTACGTCGATGACGTCAACTATAAGCTTGCAGTGAGAGGCCTGACCACCACCATCTTTAGCCTGAACATCCAGCTCGTGCGTACTAGCCTCTTCATAGTCAATAAGACCCGCCACCCGAACTTCTCCACTCAGGGGGTTAATTTCAATAACTCCCCCCATCTTGTCTGACAGATGACTGAAAGAGTATGTAATGTCTCCATAAACACCTTCATCTGAGTCCGTGGCATTCAGCGTTGCTATGACAGTTCCTATGGCCGAGTTCTCTGGCACAGAAGCTTTGTAGACTCGTTGGCTAAAAACTGGGACATTATCATTGGCGTCCAAAACACGGACGTGGATAGAAGCAGTTCCTGATCTGACTGGATTTCCCCCGTCAATTCCATTGATTTTCAGTACATGCTCAGCTTTTGCCTCCCGGTCCAATGGTTTTTTCAGAACTAGTTCCGGATAAGCATTGCCGTTTATTTGGGTGCTCATTTCCAGTGCAAAGTGATCATTCGGGCTCAGTTTATATTCACGGACCGAGTTGGTTCCCAGATCGGGGTCATGCGCGCTCTCCAAGGGAAAGCGTCTCCCCAGAACTGTGGATTCGACTAAATCTAGTTGTATCTCTCCTGTAGCAAACACTGGAGTGTTGTCATTTATATCTGCAATATCTAAAACTAAGCTGTATGCTTGAAGGGGATCTTCAAGTAAGAGCTGATACTGTAGGGTGCAGACACTGGCTTGCGCGCAGAGCTCCTCTCGGTCTATCCGTTGGCTGATCAAAAGATTGCCTGACGCAGTGTCCAGTTCACACAGCTGGCTAGTTCCTTCTGCAACAACACGGGCTCGACGAGCATCAAGCTCCGTCACTCCGAGCCCCAGATCCCGCGCAACATTTCCGATGACCGACCCCCGTTGCATCTCCTCTGGAAGGACATAACGGACTTCTCCAAACGAAACACAAAAAAGGACGCAAAACCATAAAAAATGCAGCCACCATTTTAAGTTACTTCTCTTTTCCATTATTGAAGGTGCCTTCAGAGACGGATGCACTGCCGGCGTTATAGTTAAATCCTAAACATAAAAATAGCAACTGAAAATGCAGCTGTAATCTAACGGTTCCCTGCTTCTCTAGCTGAGTTACTCATGCTCTATTAGGGAAGCTGTCCGCTTGGATTCCTCTCTCTCTCTGTGCCCATTTCACAACTCCTCTCTCTCTCTCTCTC